ACTTGAGTAAAATAATAATAATTGGAATCTCTAAAAATAATAACAATTGGAATCTCAATTTGTGGTTGGACTGTATTTGGTTGTCCCATTGACAGCTGAATTTCGCAAAAAGCTTTTGGCAAATATTTAGTCTTAATGCGTCGAAACCAAAGAAACGCTTCATATGATGATTAATCGGTGAAAATGCTAACGTACAGAAATATGACGCAGAGGAATAATTGTTTGGCATCGGTACCTTCTCTTTTTTGAAATAAACGTTCTTCAAGCTAAAGGCGTTGTCTTGCCTCATTTTGGACGATGACTTTCGTAGGAAAGGTCATGTGCGAAGTTTCCAGAAAAAGGAGCCCATGACTGAAATATTGGAACACCAATAAGTAGGAGGTCCCAGTGTTAATTTTGATTATGCCTTCGTAAAATTCTTTCATGCACAATGCGCCGAAACCAAAGAAACTTTCACAATTAATGATTATGATTAATTACCCTGCGAGCAGAGGCTACATTTCCATTTTCGGAGCAAAAAGAGACCGTGGAAGGGGACTTTCGGTTTTGATCTACATTAGACGGTGTTGCATACCAAGGAAAAGAAAACTAGATATAGCAGAATAAAATAAAATGGAATAAAAAAGCTGTTGAGATTTCCCTGCAAGCAGAGGTCTCTTTCTGGCATGGCTTTGAGCATTACGAAGTTATTTTCATGACTTGTCAGTTACATAGTTGTAAACAAACCAATTAAGCGACTAACAACCCATGAATGACGCAAATGACTGTTAATGCGAAAGGTCATGCCAGAAAGAAACTTCTGCTCACAGTTTATGGAAAGGTATAAATTGTATTCCTCGTTATCCAAAGCGTCAAACTGGACTATCACTTTGTTCAAGGACTATCACCGTTCAAGGAAGAAGGAAAAAGGTAATTCCCCGATTTATTATCCTAAATCAGCTAAATTTCCTTTAACCCTTGTGGTTAACAAATACCTTTTGACAAAATTTATAAATGTATTTATTTGGCAAGGCTAAGGCTGTAGCAATTCAGGAAGGACGAGAACCATTCATTGCGACGATAATGTTTTAACTTACTGTTTCTTGTTACATTCACTTTTTACATAAGTCCTTTGAATCGATCGACTGTTGTGAAGTAGATAGATAGATCATGTCGCATCGATCATTTACCTCAAAGTTCAGTTATCATAGGTGTGTCGACTAATTTCTCTTGTAATTTTATCCCTGAACCGCCTGTAACTTCTTATGGGGCAAACGCCCCCGGTACCGTTTGTGATGTTCTCATTTAGACAACTAGACAACAGACAACTCTGTGCAGGAAAAAGATCTTTTAAACAATTCAAACTACGCCCGAATGAGCCGCCACATTTAGTCAAACAGGCTGGAGAACTAAGTGCAGCAAAGTAAAGTTGACCCGAAAATACCAAATGAAAGTGTTGCTCGACTACCCACCTGTACCAGTCTCGCTCCATCTAATCCTACGATCCTAAAAGCTCTTCCAAAATCTTTTCTCGTCAAAATGAAACCTATAAAATGAAAATGTAGAGCTAAGAAATGGAAAAGAAAAGAAAGAGAAAGAGAAAGAAACAGAAGAATGAAAAAGTGATAGAAGAACATTTTGGCAAAAATTCCTTTCTGCTCATGCCCGAACTTTGGAAGCATCAGGAACAGAAGGCCCCGAAGCGATCTATTCAGACGGTTTAATTTCTTCTAAGCCAGATAATGATCAGAAACCGGTTCGTAAAGAAATAACAAAGTGGAAAGAGCATTAACACTTCCCTGGTTTTGAATTATACGTTAACTTACGACAAAAAGCTTATTTACTTTGATAGTCTGCTGAGAAGGAAGTCCTTACACATGCATTGCTTTATTTAGGGTAAGAAAAGTTTGTCTTCGGGCGAAGTGAGTTTATAATCTCTCCCCCGCACGGTAAAATTGAGGCAAATTCAGCAAATCTCCTCTACTGTCAGTTAAATGCACCGATGAAATGTTCAAATGAAAAGTGGAAGTTGGAGAAAATACTCAGTTGTCGTTTTGAAGAAAAAAGGCAAAAGATCAAGCGACAAATTTGCCCTGGATGAATTTATCACTGTTTTCTTCTCGGCTAGGATCGGCAGAAGAAAAACCGAATGAGCGAAGATTTAAGGTACATTTTGTGTCTTTTTGAAGAAGAGAAGGTCTTTTGAAATAGAAATTTATCAATTAGCATTGTGTTAGTGACTTTTTAGTCGAGCTGATGTTAAATTTAAGCAAATTGTTTAGAAAACACGCCCAGATTTGAGACAGCTTTATTGTGTAGTTTTCATCGCATCGTTAAAAATTTTAGTTGAGTTACGGACACATTACGCTGGAATTGTTGTAAAGCGAATTTCATTTGAGTACAGAAAAATTTGGGTTTCCAAATAAATATTTCAAAAAATGACTTCTCTGTTTATTATTATAGCATAACAAAAGTAAAGCGCGCTCTGATTGGTCAGTTTAGCCTTCCACCATTTGCCCGTGGGTACACGCCAAGAAACTGAGCCAGGGCGGTAAAATTGAGGCAAATTCAGCAAATCTCCTCTCCTGCCGGTAAAAGGCACCGATCAAAATGTACGAATGAAAAATGGAAGATGAAGAAAATACTCAGTTGTCGTTTTAAAGAAAAAAGTGAAAAAATCAAGCAGCAATTTCAGTTTGCCCTGGATTATTAAATTTATCACTGTTTTCTTAACAGCTAGGATCGGCAGAAAAAACCAAGTGAGCGAAGTTCTTTCAGGATTTTTAAAGCCCGAGATTTAAGGTACATTTTGTGTGTTTTTATAGAAGAGAAAGTCTTTTTTGAAATGGAATTTATCTATTAGCATTGTGTTATTGACTTTTTAGTCGCGCTGATGTTAAATTCAAGCAATTTTTTTAGGGACCACTCTCAGACTGGAGACAGCTTTGCCCTTGTAATGTCCGCATGGGAAATACGTAATAATTTCCCGGAGTAGTCAATCGATAAAAATCGATAGCAATCAAGTGATTTTTATCGATCGATAACGGAAATCAGTGAAAATTGATAAACTAATTTGCTGTGTCAAATCCATAGTATCGATTTTTCTTGATTTTAACGATTTATAACGGTAAGTCCGACATTGTTGTTGTTTGGCATACGTTAATGAGTACAGCTGAGAAAACACGTCCACGAGTAACAACTGATCAGCAAACATGAAAATAAGAAATGTGGAAACTATGACAGACACAAGATTCTCTCTAAAACCGCGATCCTTTTGTACATATTAACTAAATCGGTTCGGTGTAATTACATTCGCAGTTCTCGCAGGCAAGTACCACGAGAAATATAACCCTAGATAAAAGATTTCCCAGCCTGAATTTTTGAGACATGATCCTCTAGAGTCGAAGAGGTGCCTGAAATTCAGGGTAAAAGATTTCCCTAGATAGCTTTTCACCGTTTTCCTTTATTACTCGATAAAATGACTTGATCGCTAACGATTTTTATCGATTTCGATTTTTATCTATTGACTACTCCGGCAACTTTACACGCGGAACTGATGTTATTTTGAAAGGGTGGCAGTTCTAAATCGTGAAAAAACTGGGCGCCTAGCTACAAACCTGGCCAATATCGGCCGTCAGAAGACTTTAAAGCGGGTTTTAAAGGAAAGATAAGATTTTTTTAAACTTTTTATTAAAAAAGTGATAATAAATTGTGTGATCTTTCGACTCTCAATTGCAACAGACACTCCATTGTCAACAAATTCACTGTTTGCCTGAAATCAGTTTTCATTCTTGGATGAACAGAAGAACAGAGGTATCTTCCGATATAAATCGATGGAATCTGTAAAATCTAGTTAAATCGATAAACGAAACGAGTGTGTCATCGATTTCTACCGATTGATCGATACAATATCAATCACAATCATACTTACCGATTTTTATCGATTGACTACTCCGGGTAATTTGTGGACGGAGTAACTAATAGTCGTGGGTGCAAAGTCGTGAGTCGTGGGTACCAGGTTGTGGGTCGTAAAATTTTCCTTGGAAAAAATAAGAGGTTCTTTCAAAATAAATAATTTTCTTTCATTTTGACGGACTGCATGAAAAAAAAATTGTATGAACGATAACTAAGCAAATTTTTGCTCTGTTAACACTAATTGTTGAAATGCTGACAATTTGTTTTATTGTTTTCAAGACGACGCCGCTGTTTACTCACATGCTGAATTGAAAAAAGCGACGTTGATGGTATTCGTAGAAATCAAGAGAGAATGGAAATTTAATACAAGCAACGCTGATTTATTTCAATAGATAATAACCACCAATATACAAAATCATGCATACTGTAAAAATCACTTACCTTTTCTGATTTGATGAAAATCACGAATGCACGTTGTTGAAGAAACGGCGCGGGAAGATCAGAATGTCAGCACCAGGGCGGATAAATGCAGACCGAATGGCACATCCCTACAACAAAGGGTAATTCGTGGGGTCAATAGGTATCTGACAATAGCTAGCTAAGGCACGCCGAGGATCGCCGAGACATAACTCCTTTAGCCCTGATTTTGAGTACGTATTAGCTTTCTTTAGTCTGTTTTGATAATCCCTGGAGAGTTAAATTGAAGCATTTCTTTTTTGGAGGCTTAAAGCGATAAAATAAAAGCAAGCGAATGACATGCACAGTTCTGGTCTCTGGTCTATGAATTATCACAAATAGTAGCAAAGTGTCTTTATAGACATCTAAAAAGGTTGTCTCTCTAAATTCAACGCTTCGCAAACAGATGTAAGTAAACTTCTATGCAAAGATAGCTGGAAATCAGTCGTCTATAGTCCGGGTACCACTGCAGGGACGAGGCCTCGCACAAATAATAATTATTGATTAAGAAGTGATTCGGAGACGTTAATCTACAAATGGAAACTGTTTCTTTCTTCGACCTCTCACTTCTTGGCATTTTTAAGGTAATTGGTAAATATCATTGCATTGTTTGATATTTCCGTGTCTATCTACTGCAGCTTTAATCCGCCATGTCCATCACGTTGTACAAGAAGGGAGAGTCAACAGGCTCCACGTTTACACAGTCAGAACCGAATCTCGTCGGAGCCGGACGGGAATTCACAATAGCCAATGTTACAGCAGGAACCTGGATCCTCTACACTGACATAAACTACAATAAAGAAGGAAATAAAGAGGGCAAGAATCAGACTTTCAAGATAGTAGATGGTGACCAAAAAGGCGTTAAAATAGATTCCGTTAATGGCTCCATGTTCCTGGTAGACGAAGGACTCATTTTGTTTGAACATTTTGGGTATGGTGGAGACAGGAAGGTACTACGAATATAATTAGTGAACTTATTCAGTAATAACTGGGGAAACCTATTTTCTCTTTGTTCTGCTTTACTGTTTATACTAAAAACAACGCAAATAAATCAAAGGCATATGAGACACCAAAGATTTTTTTGACTTCAGATTCAGCTGAAGCCGGTTAGGATAGAGTTTTTAATGGCTTTTGATTCCGGTAAAAAAATTATCTTGCAATTCAATAATCTGCTCAGAGAGGTTCAATTATGAGATAACTTAATTTTAACATGCTTATCTTAGTTCAGTCAATTTTTAATATCAATATGTGATTGCAAGCAAAAGCCTTATCGGCCTAGCTGAAATCATGTGTCGGATATATACAAATTCAGGGTTTTAGTTCGGGTTAGGTCAAATCTTGAAATTTCAACATTCTGCATGCAGAGTCTTGAAATTCTGCATGCCAAACTATTGTAATTTCAAAATTTGGTAACTTACCAAAAATTGACTCACCGTGATATCCCGGGGGGGTACTTGACCAATATTTGGGTATGGGTGAGCCGCTGAGGGTTTAAAACCCTGACCCTGTTTTGGACAAAAAATTCCTAAAATACATACCCTGTTTAGGACAACACGATCAATTTTAGTACATTGTTTAGTACGCTGTTTCCACTAAGACGAATTCGATCCTGCATAAAAAACACTGTGCACAATTAGAACAGACTCGCACAAATCATGCACACTGTTTAGGACAGGCTCGTGCGAAATTATATACCCTGTTTAGGACAGAGCGGACGAAAACCATACCTTGTCCAGAGGACCCCCCCCCCTCGGGGGTGATAACACACGGTATAACTCACCACGTTGGCGTGAAATCCCAGGGCTTTCTCAGAAGTGGGCGGCAAACTTCGAACTAAAACGTTTGCCATTACCCCTCCCACCATCCCGGAACAGATGTAGCCTCTGTTTGGAAGAGAAGTCACCAATGGCGCGTTTCCCTGACCCCAAACAATACTAAAACAATAGAAAGAATGACATGTCATTGTTTTCTGCGACCAATTAGGAGAGACCTTACGAGCAGCTGCTACACTACTCGGAAACCAGCAAAAATTTTCACGACTGACATATCCGCGAAGTAATAAAGTGAATTCCCCGGGGGCGTTACTCACCAATGTTTTCTACGGGGAGACTCCACCGCTCAGAGGTGTAACATTTTTTTCGTTGTATTGATAATATGCGAAATCTTCTCGATTTGAAGAAACTAGGCGCGCAAGGTGGCCCCGGTTAATTTTTCAGCATGCGCGCAAGGCGTTCTTGGGAAATTCTGGAAACACGTGGTTGACTAGGCTCGATTTCCGCCGTCTCCCGGGTCCGGTCCGGGGATGAGTGCGGGCTCATTTTCCCGAACAGCGGCTGGTAATCTAGCCTCCCACGCAGGCGTTTTTAGGGAAGCTCGTCTTTCTTGTGGGGAGGGATGAAAGATGAGCCTTCCCTAAAAACGCCTGCGTGGGAGGCTACTGGTAATCGAGCCTAGCCGTTGACCGGTCAGCATTAGATTAGAACCTCCCCTCTTAACTAGACTTACATGAATTTCCTAAGTCTCTACTCTTTCTACTCTTCTAGTCTTTCTCTAAAGGTTGATTTCCACTGTCGCGTAATTTTTACGTGCGTAAATTTTGCATTCGCAAATAAGATAAAGGCAACGCATGAACGGTCTCTCGTAAGCGTAAAAGTTAAACCTCGCTCAACTTCACGTTTAATCTCAACACTTTGGGTCGGATATTTAAACGAAGTCTAACTTAGACTGCGGTTTAGGAAATCTTTGGACTTTAATTTTAAATCTCGTCCATAGTGGGTTATTTTAAGAAGACAAATGCTTTTCTAATCTACGCCATATGCTTTCATGAAACTGTTCACGATAAATCGTGTTTATATAAAAGCGTTCGGCAAACTGAAAATGGTTTAGAACGGCGATTTTGTTAAACACTGGCTAAACTCCGTTTAAATAACTGGCCCTTTATATCTTGTCTTATTTTTTGTTTACGTGATTAAAATTTACGTGTGTTCCCTTGGTTAACGCGTGCGTAGCCAAAAACGCGTCAGTGGAAATCAACCTTAAGTCTAAGTCCCCTCAATTAATTTTTGGGAAGTGAAAAGGGAAATTGACTGTGGCATTAGCGGGATCCGAACCCGTGGTCTTAGGGCCTGTTTACATGGAGGTGGGGGACCCCAGGTAGGAGAGGTAACCCGTTTAGGAGGGGTTAACCCGCCTGTCCATATAATCTCTCATTTTAATTTGATCAAGTTTACACGTTAGGTGGGGTAACCCACCACATGTTACCTCACCTACCTGGGGTCCCCCACTTTCATGTAAACAGGCCCTTAAAAAACTGAACTCTATCGCCTATACCACTACACCACAGTGGATTCATCAGAAAATGATGCGTTCGTTTTACATTATTTATAGTGACAAACCTATAAGTAAATTAAAGTTAACCATTTCGAGTCAGTGCTTAACCCTAATCACTATAACGTTTTTCGCGAAGTTTTCAGAAAATGTCATAACCATAGAAATAGAGTTCTAAAGTGATGACGTCATAAAAATAAAATTTGGGAATTTATAGGATTTGTCAAGATATTCAGAAAGCACAATGTCCAAAACGCCTACTCGCCAAAAATTAGCATTTTGGGGCAAAATGTCTCTTAGATATTTGCCCAGTTACGCTTTGATGACTCCACACAAATCCTTCTAAATATGACTTGGGTCTAAAAGTTTAGACCCTTTGGGGCGGCACAACATCATCATCATCATCATCTTTTTTTATTTAAACAACTTGGGTTTTAAAGCTTATATAGCTTATGGGGCACATACCTATAAACTGCAGCTATAGGTACATCATTCGGGCGGAGCCTCCCCCGCATAGGTCATTATAGGGAGTACCCCTCGGGGGGTGAATTCCAGCTTGGTTAGTTAGTATTTTTTTTTTTTTTCAGATTCTACCCGTGTTGCATTTAAGAGTAGTCTGATGCTGATCCAAACCTCACGATCATCTTTACTGACATAATCTGAGTGTTATCTTTCTATTATTATTATTTTCTTGTAGTGGTTTCAAGACAATCAGGAAGATCTGACCGGATTATTCCCAGATCCACCAAAGCAATCACCAAAGAAATCAGGCGTCTCCTCTGCTATCTTGTTGTCTAAGAACCGGTCCGTAGAATTGTTCACCGAAACCTATTTTGGCGAAAAAGGCGACAAATATACTTTGCAACCAGGAGAATGGTGTGAATTGTTAAAGTTCTCGGACAAGCACCAGCCGGGACACAACGACAAATGGTTGAGCTTAAAGTTTATCTACAAAGCGTAAGAGTTGAAAAACCCAACCTGCCAGCCACAGTCCATTTTGCTCGAGTTTTCTTTAAGTCTCGAAGTTATGTAGTTTTTGATTGAGAAGCCGATTGTAATTAGTACACTTTAGGATTTTAAGAGTTCTAAAATGTTGTCAAAACCAGAGGGAAGAATTGAATAAATGAAGATTAATTGTTTCCTTTATCCAGCATTTTATCTTTGTAAACTTTAACTTAATTGTACGGGAAACTGGCTGTGACATTCAAATGGGAGATGAAACTTTTTGCCTCGTACCCAGACGTCTCTCTCTTTCGATGAAAATTTGCGCGCAAAGAAAGGCGGGAAGGAGAAAACGGGCGGGCACCTAGCGAGCACCTCTCTTGTTTCTCCTTCCCATGGCCCATTGCGATTAGCCACCAGTCACTGGCGTTTCCCGTTCGCCTCTATGTGGAATAAATACTCCCTTTCTGTCCTATTATGGCTCTTGGCCGGAGCAAAGGATCTTATTATGACCTGTTGGCCAGAGTAGTATTATGAATGTAATGTGTAGTGTTATGAATTAACATAGAAAAAACAGTAGTCAGAGAAATTATTTATCGAAAAATTTTATTCGAAAACCCATAATTTTATCCTTAAAAGCAATTCACGTAACACTAACTGGATCGTGGAACATTTCACGCAAGAAAAAGGGGCCGACATCAAATGTCAACGCCAAAATCCGTCTCAAGTCGTATAAAACCCCTATGAAAAAACTATAAATACTTAAATTTCCATTTAGAAACGGAACTTCCTTGACCATTAATGTGCAAGTTGTACCTGAAAATTCTTTTANTAAACTTTAACTTAATTGTACGGGAAACTGGCTGTGACATTCAAATGGGAGATGAAACTTTTTGCCTCGTACCCAGACGTCTCTCTCTTTCGATGAAAATTTGCGCGCAAAGAAAGGCGGGAAGGAGAAAACGGGCGGGCACCTAGCGAGCACCTCTCTTGTTTCTCCTTCCCATGGCCCATTGCGATTAGCCACCAGTCACTGGCGTTTCCCGTTCGCCTCTATGTGGAATAAATACTCCCTTTCTGTCCTATTATGGCTCTTGGCCGGAGCAAAGGATCATATTATGACCTGTTGGCCAGAGTAGTATTATGAATGTAATGTGTAGTGTTATGAATGAACATAGAAAAAACAGTAGTCAGAGAAATTATTTATCGAAAAATTTTATTCGAAAACCCATAATTTTATCCTTAAAAGCAATTCACGTAACACTAACTGGATCGTGGAACATTTCACGCAAGAAAAAGGGGCCGACATCAAATGTCAACGCCAAAATCCGTCTCAAGTCGTATAAAACACCTATGAAAAAACTATAAATACTTAAATTTCCATTTAGAAACGGAACTTCCTTGACCATTAATGTGCAAGTTGTACCTGAAAATTCTTTTAAAACGTTGCCGCTTTAGTTTCTTTTCAGAACAGAAAAAGCGTTCCACCGTGAAGAAACCAACCAGGTTGAAGTCCTTGAGGGCAAATCAGTGTTCAGCTAAAAGCTTCTTTTCTTCTTATTCTACTAAAAGAAAACTGATCGATGATTCTTTTGAACTTTCCGGTTTCCATCTGTGTCTTAAAGCAGTGCATTCAGCCTTGCATTGAGAGACGACACAACAAAAATCACCGCTTCTTTTTCTGGCAAACAACAACTACCATATGAAGCTATATGACAAATTAACAATCTTTACCATGTCCCGTAAGAAGCACTGGCAGCAGCTAGTTTTGGTAATCCGACAGCTTTAAAATACAGAGCTTATTCCAGTTGACGACGCTCTTTTAAATACATCAACAAGGATTTTTGAAATTGTTTTTGAACTTTTCCCGTTGTTACGCTTGAGCCGCGTTCGTATGCGAGAACTATGCGAGAATTTGGCGCGAAGGGATGCATAAAGGCGTAATAATGGTCAGCGTTCATTCGCTGACGCAAGGGTAGGTACTTCATAGCCAGGGGGGGTGATGAACTTGGTAGTTTGTTTGTCCGGACGATCTTGGCCATCGTGACGTCACGAAGAGAGAAGCGCGCAACTTCGAGGAGTTTTCGAAAATGGCGTCGTTGCCATTTCCAAATGTTACTTTTAAAGTTGGTTTTCCTTGATATTGACGCTCCAAAATGGTTTTTGTCACGGTAGGATAGTGCAGTTCCAACATCTCTTTCCGAAAAGGTGAGTGAAATGTGTATTAATCCGAAAAACAACGCGTATGAGAGCTGTAAACAGTTTCGGTCAATTTCCTCGAGTGGAATAATGTGCCGCAAAAGTTTGCATGTTCGCACAGTAATATCGCATTTTCTCGAAATCGGTGAGGTGTTGAACATCGAAACTTAGCATAAGGGTGGGTTACTTCTATTCGAAAGCTTTGTCTCTGAAGTTAATTGAGATAAACTTGCAGTAAAAATGATCAGTCCATTCGAGTGTGCCAGCGTAACCGCTATTAAAGGTACAGTCCCAGAACTGATGCAATTGTATTCATTACTTTGCTGTTATCTCCAATAATGCCAACAGTATCACCTATTCAAGCTGTCTTTTCGGGATAAGTAAACTTTAAAGTAGTTTCTGTTAGAGGGAAAGTATAGTTGCAACAGCTCTTTCCGAGAAGGAGAGTTAATTGTATTATATTCTGTTGATAATTACCTCGTAAACAGTTTAAGCCAATTTTTTCAAGTGGAATATTTGTCGCAGAAATTTGCGTGATCGCATATTAACATCGCATGTTTTAGAAAATCGGTTTGGTGTGGGAATTCGAAACTTGGCAGAAGGGTAGGTCAGCAATAGTGGAAAACATTGTCCTTGATGTTTAATGGCAGAAATTAGCAGTAAAAATGATCAGTCCATTCGAGTGCGCTTAATATTGATATAAACAGATGACCTCGACTCGGTTACCCCGGCACAATGTAAGTCAATTATTTTTCGGTTTTAAGAAAAAGGAAACCAAAGACTTCCCTCAACACTATGTATCTATAATAATTACACCAGGAATATATATTGTTTTAACACTTGAAGGTTGTACCATCTTGTTGAAGCAAAGGATATTTCTCTGTAATACCTATAAGCTTACATTAAGTTTTCATAAATAGCAAAAAAAATTAATAAGATTTACATACAGCTCCAAACATGTACATCTGTTATGCATGAGGCAATTTCATATCATTCCACATCAATAGTTAGTGCGAATGGAGGCAAAGATGTACAGTGAAACTTGCATAATTTAAGCGGACACCTCAGAGAATGCTGTAGTCCCCACTTAATACAAAGTTTCTTCCTACGACATACAGGTAGAAAATGTCATATGAGGCAGACCAGCCAACTCTCACAATTCTGCCGTGAGTCTCACGATTTTTTAACTTTACTCACAGTCTCACGACAAGACTCCCAATCTCATGGTTTTCTGGGAAATATTCTAAATTGAAATATTACCTTGTTGAATAAAAACATAAATTTTGTGGGGAAATTCTTGTGCCTGGATAAGCTTTGACTATTTTAGCCATGAAGTTGTCTTAGCCCAAAGAAATGACTCTGCTGTATGTTTCGTCACAATGATAACCTATTTTTTGGCATCTTAAAGTCATCAAAGAAAAAGCGGCATCTAATTTGTTACATAAGGGACCACACTAAGCAAGGTTATATTAAAATAAACAGTTGATTCCCCTAATGGAAAAGGGGTCGTTTACTTTTGATCGGGAAAAAATAGAATCTCACTACTTTTTGTAGAATCTCCTGATTTTTTTTCATGAGTCTACAGATTTTCCTTTATCAGGGGTTGGCAGGTCTGTATGAGGAGCTGAGTACCATTCAAATAAAAGGTGGAAACATTTGGAATACTCCCAGAGATATGATGATATACATTTACATTAATATCTTTATTTGTGCGGAGCAAATTGTACCTCAAATTTTAAGATATCAAATGAATAAAACAAGCAAATGAAATGAGAAAGTACTGTAACTCATTTATATAATTTACAGAAGTCCCCTGGTGACACTAGCCGAGTGCTGATAGGGCAAGACCCCCAATATCATGGTTTTCTGGGAAAGCAAAAGGCATCTTAAAATAACAAAAGGCACATAGGGCTCAGCCGAATGGTACCATAATGACGTCAAAACGTATGGAAACAGGCCTTTTCTCCAAAACCCGCCCTATTACCCTGTGGCTATTTTTATTTGCGTTTACCCTACCTCACCTCCCCTCCCTGTACCTGATGAAACAAGGCTTTCAACAGTCTGTTGAGATAGGATGCTTTTTGTTTTAAAGGATGAGCTCATCATATTTTATTATCGTAGAGACAGGGGTAAGATAAGTTAACAATAATAGACAGATTATTATAGGTGGGTTACTCATTTTTACAGCTATCCCTAGAAGAAGAAATAGAAGTAAAGAGCTGACTGGCAGCCACTGAGATTGAGGAGAGGAGAAAGGAAATTGAAAGAGAAGAGAAAGAGTTGAAAGGAAAAGAAGAAAGGTTAAGACAAAAAGCAAAAGAAATTAAAACACAGTAATAGAGGCCAAGCGGGTAGCTGCCCAACTGCAACTAATGGCAGGGCAGCTAGACTGCTTGGCTAACCAAATTCTAGAAGAGACCAACAAGTTAAAGAAGAAGTAAAAGAAAAACACCAGTGTAAGAAAATTTTATTGATAACAAACCGTTCTTTTAATCAAAGTCAATGTGCAAAGCTTTTAAATGTATCAAGTCTAAGTCAGACCTGTTATGCAAGAAAGAAAACACATTTGTTCAGTGTATAAAAAATAAAAGGAAACTGGTTCTTCTAATTTCTCGTATCCTGTAGGGTCTCTTCTCGCTCCATGGAATCCACTCCATCTAACATCCTCCACTTCCCGCACCGCACTACTCTCTTGGAGGAATCTATTATACTAGATCTTTACCGACATCCAGTAAGCAGCACCTCGTCCATCATACACTGCATGTTTTTTCTCATCATCTACAGAGTATTCCCAACCAAGGAAGCACCTAATTATAAAATCAGTAAGATAAAAAGAGATTATTATATATACAAAAGTGAAAACAAATAAATCAATAAAGGCAATATTATCTCCATAGCAATGGCAAGGCTATGTGAAATATATTAGCAGAGGCAGTACAAAAGCAAATTTTAAAGAGGGGCTTTAGAGCTATTATAATGGAACACCTATAGTCATGGAATGATTGTCTTTACTAAGTTACGCCTACCAAGAAATTACCACAAAGCTACATCAGCTGGGTGATAAAACTGTACAAGCTGGGTGATAAAACTGTACGAGCAGGCCCCGAATTGTTGGAACTGGACAGTGTCACTTGATGTAACTGACAATAGCATGGAGTCCAAGTAAGTTAAAAAGCATCAATAATTGAAAATTAAACTGATGCCCCTGCACTGCCACTCCCAGTAGATCCCCTGCCTTGACATTACCTAATAAACATACATTGATACTCGTGTCATTTTCTAAACTCGTGTAGTTATTGACTTATATTGTCGTTCTTGAACTTTCATGTCTTTATTGAACTAAACAAAAAGGAAAACCGAAAAAAATGTAACATAAAAAAGTCTCTTTTTATATTGTAAAAATGTGAGAAGGGTGATGATATTCATCGCATGAAAATCCTGCAATTTTTTATATCCTTAGAAATTTTTTCTCCTCATTTTTAAGATGCGGACGCCCGAGGAAACACATTTTCAATATTACACCATTGAAACGCTTACTAGTGTCCGTTTTCTTGGCTTTTTCTAGTTTTTTTTTTTTCTATTAACTCTGTAAAGCGATTAAGGCAAAGCTACATACCCATCCTTTCTACGGCTCCTCCTCCTGGATTCTCTGCATAAAGCCCTAAAATGTTGATGTTGATCAAAAACTTTAGCTCACGGCACTTTACCCTAGTGATAGATTCTGTTTGACTATTTACAGGATAAAAACCATGTTCTCCTTTGTTTGTGGGGCGAAGAAGCAAAGAGAAAGGCAATGTGAACTTATCTCCATCATGAGCAATGAATGTTTTGACAAAACGATCGTAATTTATCGTGAAAAGTTGCAATATAATAGGCTATAATAATATCCTTGGTTATCGCGCGACGATTAGATTCAATACGCTTTATTAACATTTTGATACGTTTGACTCAAACAGGAAATCCTTTCAAAACCCTTGAAGATTATAGCCCATATTTCTATAAAAAAAAAAACACTTGCTTCTTACATTTGTTTAGTTTTAATAAATTGTTTACACAATTTGATAGTCTAGTATGAACATCATGACGCTATGTTTCGTGACCTGTCCACGCCACTTTCGCAATTTTTGTAAACATCCCTGAGGTCTGCGACTTTTATCCCACTGATCATTTTTGCTTACTTATTAGACGACTCACTTCTATCACTAATTGAGAGACCTATACCATATTAACGTCATTTGTTTTTCTCGAGACTAAATTCTGCTGGGCTGTTTAGTTATGCGTCTCTAAAGACGCCCCGGTATGAGTTGTACCATCTGGTCGATCTCGGGAAGTTCTTGATTTTTTACGATGGAAATGCTTATTCCTAGAATAAATTGCAATCTTACTATATAGCATTAATAGATAAACACATACCTTCGGTCGTTTCATCGCAACGTCTCGACTTTTACCACTTGAAACCACGAAACAATTTCGCTCGATGAAACCATTTAAAGTTCCCGGGATAAATTTCTCGTGACGTCACGATGGCCAAGATCATCCGCCGCGCGATCCCTATAGGAGCGATTGACGAGTTCATCCCCCCCCCCCCTGTTCATAGCGGAGCTCCAACCGCGCGCGTGCGCGGAGCCCAATTGCTAAGGAAATGAAAGAGTACGATACGAAGATTCAGTCTCAGAAAAGGAAATGTGGTATCTACCCATCCGAGAAAATTTGGTAATCATGTGACCGTACGCCCGACCGTTTGTCCGCACCACAGGGAAACCAATGTTTACTTTCTAGCTAGTTTGGGAGCCCAAGAGAAAACTAATTGCACATCAATGTTGTGATCAATTGACAGCTGTCAAAATAGGATATCCGCTGACCAGTATCACCTGACCGTACCGTAGGCTCAAGTGTCGACCCATCGAGGTCGAGTATTTTTTGAAAGTTATCCGCCGACAAATTACTAGTTTCAAATGATCGCAGGCTCAAGTTTATTTTTTCCAATGATTCATATGAAATATGTTGTGTTTATGTCACTATGGCCCCGCACTGTTAAGATTTTAATTTCAAACTGACCTCGGACGCGAAAATTCAGCCATTTGTTAAAAAATACAGGCGGGGATGACCTTTTCTTACCATGGTCACGCGTTGGTCACGCTCTACGTCCAATTTTTATACTCTGACTGGTCAAAAATTGACAGGTGAGTTCATGCGGAAAATTTATGCATCGTCTTGAAAGTTGTTTACTTTGAGAGTTGAAGCTGACAGAGTTTTTTGTCAACTTGTGAAGAATTTAACTGTCTTTTTCCACTAGATGTACAAAATGAAATACGGCTGCTCTCAAGAGTCTTCTGTTATTCATTGCTGGTTTGTTTATTGGGTTTTTGGTTGAGAGAAATGCGTTGCTTGTCAAAATTTGGTAATCGGATTTCGGATGGCATCGTTTTCGTGTTTCACCTTGCTTAATGCGTAAGAGGGTTTAAAAGTCTAAAGCAACTGTGGGCTTCCTTGATATCTTTCAGGAACTGAATCTCGAATGGTAAGCCTGAGTAATTATTGTATTTGATGTTTGTTTTTGTTATATCTAATTTCATGAAGTCGAGCACAGTCTATGCGGCACGTTTATGCACGCTTGTAAGATTTGAGTCAATGATCTGACCTAGTATCAGGTTTGATAT